ACACATGCATTCTATGTGATTGTTTGAGGCAACAAACATATCAACGAGACTTTAAAAAATTGAATGTTTTAAATCCAAATGTACCTTTATGTTCTGTGCTTAATTTAGTATTTTTTCTCACGTTATAAAGGCAATAACAATGTACTATTCTTAAGCGACTAGGTTGTAAAACGTAACTTATCTTCCTGTTATTCTAAGTCTTCATAATACAGTCAGAAAACCGAAAATATTCGCTTTCATATTAGCCAAATAACTTACCATGGACATTGCTAGTCTCATAACAATATTCCGAATATTATTATTCGTCGTGCATATTTGACGGAAAGATCCCTGCTTCCTCCGAAGTTTATTTTCTTATCTGCGAGAGGAAGTTCGGTTCCTACGACTGTTCTGCGTTTCTGACAATCTAATTCAACTTAGAAAACTTTCAAACATTCCAGTTATTTACAACTGTACCGCAATTTTATCTCTTAGGGAAATTTTTCTTGTTTGGAATAACAAATACTCAAATGCAAGATTTAATGGAACTTTTGATTGTGAAGTATACATGTCTGTTTGGATCTAGTCATATCAAAGTGGGTTATTCAAACGAAAATAAAGCGTTACTGAAAAAAGCAAAAATTTCAAAACGCTACTCAAATATAATGGAAATATTGGTGTTAATTCACGGAGGTTCTGTACTTTCCGTTGTTTTCCTTGTAATATGGTCCACATATGGCTGGTGGTCGGCTGTGAAAAAGGAACTTTCTAATGGTTTACATTTAGTCGAAACATCTCGTTAGGGCCTAGGTGCTAAACCACTCACAGTTCAGAAGATGACAGAGGACCGACCTAGAATGAAGAGCCCTATTGTTCCCCAACACTTTATTTTAAATACCCGATTGCAACATCTGTGATTAAGCAGGTTTGGCTTTAAGCGCAACTGGGCCAAGAAAAATGTTGTTTCAGTAAATACGTGTGAGAAGTGCTTATGAAAATCTTAGTGACAAGGATGGTGAAGCTGTGAAACTCTTGAGAATTGAAGTGGATCAGGAGATTTGTGTGCGGGAACCTGCAACTTTAATGATCGGCTTAAGTTTGTTTTAGTTGCCAAAATATTATCAAGTATTAATTTTCATAAAATCTTACTACATCAAATCGCTTCAAAACTAAGCCGTCGATCTAACTAAGTGTAATGATTCGCTCTCGTCTTATGCGGCATTTAATCTTTAGTGTCTATTAAAACTAATGTTATTGTCAAAGTTGAGCGTTCAAAATCTCAACTTCAACAAGAGATCACTAGATGAGGAGAATTTATTTAAAAACTATTATTTTCCCTACTTAACACTAATGGTTATTCCGAGGGCGAATAGCAGAACGTCTGCTACATGCAGTGATTGCATAATCGGCCAATTTTGATCTAAAATCATCAAGACACTCTGAATTGATCACGTTCAAGACACTATAAAAAAATTCCGTTTTCAAACTCTAGAACCCATTCATGTTGATTGCAGGTCTTCGAAAGGTGTATTTAGTAGCCGACAAGGTTTCGTGTGCACTACATGGTGTTATTAAAGTTCAATTTAAGCACATCATCCCGAAATTATCTCCATAAAGGTGCCTATGTAAATGTTTGAAGAGAAAAAAGTGCCTGCAGGCTTCCAGATTAAAACTGGGATATGTTTGAGGGATAAATTACCATCATCTGGTGTATCACGAACCAAAAAAGATGTTGATTAATATTGACTTTTTTCAGTTTCCTATAATTGTTTTTTATCAGCTGCTGACCGCTGAATGAACGAAAAACAGTCCAGTCCGATGAGATGAATAAAAGCAATAATTATTTGAAAACAAAGCAATGCGTAAATTTTAACCTTTAATAAAATCTACCGTGTAAATGAATCCACTTGAATGGCTTTTCGAAGGAAAATACATGTGAAATTTCAGAAGGGTTTGTAATTCCCTAACCGAAATAAGGTCGTTATGTAGATACGAAACAAATGTACTTGTTGTGATTGATGTTTGTTTAGGTTTCCGTTTCGACTTTCGTGTGCAAAAACAATACAGTTTTTACGTGAATATCTTCATTACCATGTTTGGTTCACCGTGGGCCCTTTTCGGTTCGTATTTATTACGTCAAAGGAGCAGTTTTATAAACATGAGCAAACAAATAAGCACTCATCAAATAAAAACTGAAAAACTCAAACAAAGAAATGTGTAAGAAATTAATAATTAAGATAATTTAAATAATAATTTAATCGCTTTCCAAAGATTATTGGGCAAGTTCATATTTTTTCTTGCTAAAATGTCTCATTTGTGCAACCTTCCCAACATTTCACCTTCTTGTTGATGTTCCTGCAGATGCCGTTGAGCTCACTGAACACCATTGACAAAATAAAAATCCATAAGTATGTCACTCATTTTCCAATAAACTGAACGTTAATTCCAAGCGTGTCGTCCTTTGGCGATAAAAATAATTTATTGAATGTTGTTGGCTGCCATTGATTCTATTTTTACACGCATTCTTACACAACTTTCTTTCTTAATTGAATTAGCTGGCGCTTACTGGCTGCACTTGCTACCGTTAACGCACCGGCATTTATCGTATGTTGGACTTTTACATACACACCTTTAAATATACAATAGCTAACATTCTTATGAGTATTTTTTAACCATTGAATGAGCCCGACCGATTGGCCATTATGTACAACACCATATACTTATCTACGAAGAAAATAAATTGCTTTTAAATGTTTATTTCCGCAATTTACTTCTGCGATTTCTACCCTTTTGTGTCCGAATATCCCTGTTGGTCTCCGAATGTTTATCTACCTACCTATTCAGAATCTTGCAAACGTTGGACCTTTTCCTAATGTGTTCTATAATCCTTCAAGTATTTGAACCTATTTTTGGGCCTTCAGTGGTTAAAGTGATCACTGTGGTATTCTTAGTAGGGTTTACAAACTTCTCGATTCTAGTCCAAAAATTCCATTTGTTTTAATCCCTTCCATGTGCCTTGCCTTGGTCTTTGTGCAATAATAACTTTAAATTCTCTCATTCTTTGTATTCCCAGAGCAATTCCAAATAGATTCGGCGATAAACTTCCTTGAAAGCTGACGAGCTTTTGCGCTAGAAACAGAGTAACTGATTCGTGTTGTTGCGAATAAAAAAAATCAACTGAAACACTATCCAGAAGTTTAGAAAATTACAAATTCCCGGTCCGGAATTAAGTTCGTTCGAGCACATATATGCGAGCGAGCTTTAAATAACAAAACAAAATAATTAAACGGAAAACATATTAGTCCCTAGCTAGTTCATTGTATATATAACATAAAAACATGTTCCTGCTTTGCTTTGTGAATCGTGAAATGACAAGCTGGAGTTATCGAGGATAAAGTTTCGTTGAATGTGATTTTCCTACTAGGAAAACATAACTGGCTTAGAAGCTTTTCATCTTGGTGACAAGTTATTAAGGAACTTAAAAAGTGACAATTTGTATGTTTTGTGACTTGCGTGTATGTCGCATTATTTAAATTATTACACTTTGAAATAATGCCGTGATAAGAATGTCGATTTCTCGTGGTAAATTTGTACTTTGACCTGTGTATCCCTTGCTCACGTGATTTTCACGTTAAGCGTTCGAAGTTTCGATAGCAAGATGATATTAACCTTCCGGTCTTTTAGACCCCCGAACATCCATACGAATATTACCAGGTTTCACATTTATATTTTGTTTTTCTAAATGTGTATATTACCATTTTCCAACAGACGAATTAGTGTCACAGTGAGCATTTTTTAACGGTAGCGTGAAAAATTTGCTTTCTTTTTACCTAAAAATTCATATTCAATGTCTTTTTCCAAGTGTCTCCAACACCCAGAGAAGAAAAAATATTTGGGATTTGTGTCCACTTTCGCACATAAGTGAGGACATTCCTATGCGATGTTTGTCTAGTGCCAAAAAGGCATACTGATGGAAATGAACWGAAAAACTGMATTTCCAGAAATTGGAGAAAACATAACGATTGGCAAAAKTSAAACTTCTTGATACCGCGCGAGCAACGGCTGTTTAAAAAAACAAAACCTYACAAAACTGGAAACAAATTAGTAACTTTATGAATTATTGCCTGTAAAACTTSAATTTCAAAAAGCTCTTCTTAGTTACATTAATCATCKATAAGTAATGAACAATTAACAACAACAAACAGAAACAGAACAAAATAATAGTAAAAAAATATAGTAAAAAAATATAAATAAAGAAAAAAAACAGAACTAAATAATAGTCACCAATTTRCTGCAATCAAAAMACATACCACATAAAATTRTTGKGTTTTTTRATTGCRTTTTTCTGAAAAAATCACAGTCYGCTGCTAGCAAACATCMAAAMYGARATAAATYTTATCTTCCACTTTCGCTTATTCAAAAGCCTCCGTTTTCTCAAAAAAACTCCTATCATTAAGTTTCACAACGSCATCWCCGGAATTCAGAAGACAGATCTGAAGTCGGCTCCTTTTGCCTTATTGCTTGTTTGTATTCAAAAAAACTCTTCCATGTTTCGCGCCTTAATTAAATAAGCTCAGGCAATGATAAATTATTGATGATCAAGTCGGGATTAAGTTATGAGTGTAAAAAATCGGCTTTCTATGGACAGGTCAATTTCAGTGGCTCCAAATCGGGATCTCTAGCTGCCGCCAATTAAAAGCTGTTTTTTAGTCGCGCTAACAAGCAATCAACAAGCTCTTTTAATAAAATCATATTTATCGATGAGGACGTCGGCAAGGCGAAAAGCTTCCGAACCACGAGAGCCGGAGCTCTTCTTCGGTCTCCGGCTTCTTTACCGACAACTTCATTTTAAGCGAGCCAAATTAACCAACCAGACCGCAGGCTCTTTACCAACGTGCCATCTTCAAGAAGTGGCCAAGATGTACCATCAGCCACCACCGAAGGAATCGTAGGCGTTCGGTACGCATCGGGCCGCCAGCTATTGGTCCAGAAGCGCCAGCTCTTCTCCCGTTTAGCGCCATGCCTGGCAGTGGCAATTCGTACGCTGTCTTCGTCACGTTGGAGGGAACTTATCGGTCCGTCAAGTTCGAATTTACGCGCGTACTTCGAGCCAACTCAGTTCGGTTTTCCCCGACAGCTTCAGCGCTGATTTCAGCTTCTAGCTTAGCTGCGAAGCTGACGTGATAGTTCTAATTAAATTGCTGATCAGGATATACCGGAAATGCTCTATTGACATTCTCCGAAGGAATTGAAGCAGTCATTTGCATGTTGTGCGTGACCGGGAAATTGGTCTTTGCTCTTCCTCGATCAGCGTGCAAAACTGTGCCAGTTAATAGTGAGTGAATGACTTAATTTTCCAACAGTTTGCAGCTGTGACTAAATTCCTACGGTGAAACAATGGCAAAGGTGGTGATAGTGTCTGCGGAACTGGTTACAATTCTGTTGATCAGTGTTGGCTGTCTAGTGCTTGGAGCGAAAATTTCTGAAGAACCCGGTACGACTACATTTTCAGCTACAGCTTCTATTCATTTTCTAATTATTATTTATAGGCCTTTGGAGTTGCGGGTGCAACTGCAGCTGGTCGCATATTGCATTCATGTTTACGCATTTAACACAACTTTAAATCATTAAAACAGTGTTTGCGATGTCGCAAAGGAAGCATTTAATAAAAAATGCGTGTTGGTACAGGTTGTTTGGTACAAAATTGCGTTCTCCCGTATTTTAAAAGCTGCGGTCCAGACAAATGGAGGGCAAAAATTTCGCTGGTCAAGCAGTTTAGACGCTAAAAAAAACTTGAAGCTAATTTTGCAAATTTAACAAAAAATGGAAATTTTGCGAAAAGTTTGAAAAGCTTGGGGAATATTTTCTTTTTGGATATTCGAATTACCCACTGAGATGCTGATGGCTTTAGCTTGTAAACGGCTTCTGCGATTTCATTAGATTTTAGTTTGGAGGATAAAAGTTTTGTCAGGGCAGGKACAGATWGGAGCATCAGGTTTTTAATAAAATTGTRAAACGCCACAATTTACACGAWCAACTAATGACTCCAATAYCCTTTTTTAATGTCTATTMATTTAAGAGGTCATGAAACGTTTRCCATTTTAATTTTGTTCAACAATTTAATKGAAATTGTTGYTTGTGGTGTTCAAAAWTTYTYGTTTTTCCAARTTTCTGAATTTTTATTCAGGAAACTGTTCGAAAATTTTGGTTCTGMAAATGCATCTTCCCAATGTGRTTTTCCGACAACCTTAAAAATAATTCCGGTWGGMMACTTAAGTGRTAAAAAAATTGCCGGATCRCTTCKGAGATGAAATTATATAYATTAATGKATKTWTATATTARTAACAACTAGATAGTTTACTAACATGGACTTTAWTATCAAATTGATCTGTTTTTTTTTTTAAATTCTAACCATCAATAGACATCAATTTTAACTGGAAACGTGGTTTCTATTAATATATTGCCAAAAAAATACAATTTCAATCTAATGTTTTTCTAGTGCCTGTTTTACACTACCAACTTTTCCCTAATCTATTGACCAGTGAAGTGTGCCAATCAATCAGCTTCTTGGCCGTCCTCGACTTTAAACTTGGATATTTTTCTGACAATAAATTAGTGCAATTTCAGTAAAACGAACATAAATTTCAATACTTTCGTTCTGTCGTTTTATCTTGTCATCTAAYAATTTKTAGATAATAGCAYGCGAGCCAAATTATTTCCCTCCGCCTCTAACAAACCGACTAATTYTCTTTATTAATGTGCTAAACTTATTGCAKACAACACAGATTTTCAACATTTTAAACACAATAAAAAAARWACGCTTTACGTTGAGACACAATAAATCGGTAATTTCTACCAGTATAARAAATGGCGCGTAKTCAGAATKATTTATATACAAAAATTCTTCGAAAATTTCGGAATTCCTTTTCAACAATCTATTAGTTGTGTTGTAGAACGAATTTTTAATATGTAGTTCTTGAAACGCCCCAACAATGGGCTTTTGTCTTCAAATCATACAAAATGCAATGAACGTGTTATGCCCACCTATGAGATTTTCCATTTCCATTGAGACTTCTACTTTAATATAGTTTTGAACAATGTTCTCTTTGTGCCATGTCGGATACCGGAAAGTTTCCTGGTTATGATATACCTGCTGTTATGCTTATATGCTTCTTAACATTTTTATTGACTGGTTTTCAGTCTCTCGAGTTTCAAAACTCGGCTAACGACTAATTTAGAATCTATTTCATTTTCTCGAACATTGTGTAAGATTAACGGTTGTATAAACAACATTGTTAATTGCAACAAAAATACTTTTTTCCATCTCTAACAATGGACCTAACACCCAACAACGCCAATTTTTCAGTTTTGCATAATTGAAATTTAATATAAACTCTGGTAAAAGCCCGAATAAACAAATGACCCATTAATGAATTAAACGGGCATTAAAAATGTATAATTTATACTGGTAATTAATCAATAAATGCGAATTTCGATGTTTGCCATTTATCCATATATAAATTTCATGAAATGTAATATTCAATTTTGTGCTACGCTTTTGATTTATGCGAACAGGCTTGAAGTGCGAGTTAGTGGGTACTTGATTAATTATGGATCTTATTGTTCGAAATCTTATTACAGCCTATTTGATTTAAATTGTGTTACTTTACACGCTTTTAGACTTGTATTTTTTCAGTTTCTATTAAAAACAGTTTTGTTCGCCTCCATGTTTGATTAGAAAATCTCTTTGTTGCCAAAAATATTGCTGATTTATAGTCATTGCGCTTAGTAATTGAAACCCGTTTAATGTAGCTAGTGAATTATTTCCCATATAAATGGAGCCAATATTAGTATCTATTTGCACAAACGAAAATTAATTCGGAAATAAAATAGCAAATATGGTATTAATCTGGGATTAATGCATCAAAAGAGTATTTAAAACGTATAATTTATATGTATGTATAATTAGGAGATAATGTAAAAGCCAATTTTAATATTTGCGCTCATCAGCCATTTCCGTTTATATCAAATAACATTAATAGTTGTAGATTTGCAATTGGCAATATTGTTTTCACAAGCCTAAAAGGAAATTATGATATTGATATTTGCTCTACACCACCAAATTCAGTTTAAAAAGCGGTGCTGATATTCAAAATTGAACGAAAATGCCCCATTTTATCTGACAACACTTCTGATAAATTGATTATACGACCAATTAATTCCGTTGCATTTTTCACACCATCGGTGCACAGTGCACGCATATCTTATCTCGTATAAGATATCTTGACAGCGCATATCTTTAATGCAGTAGAAGAGAAATAAATGATAACAAGTATATCATTACCGTTTAACCGCAAGTCAGGCGCGTTTTAAGGAGTTGGGACAGCTTGAATAACGACTGTAATTATAGTCGGATTTCAATATTCTAGTAAGAACAAAATTGATTTATTATACAAATTGGCTCTAATTTGGTAAAACCGTTCATACCGAGTGGCTAAAGTAAGATAAGCAAGATCAAGTGAAAGAAAGTAGCAATTTCGAGCAGTGAATTTCCACTGTTACAAAGAGAGATATTCCACAGTCCACCTGCATGAAATCCAAGAATGTCTTAATGTTATCCAGTTGAGCACTAAAAAACCATTCCAAGGCAAGTTGTAGCGTAAAAGCTGCCACATTAAAACAAAGTTAATGCCCCCTTTTCGATTCAGGGTCCCATGAAATTGGAATTAAGAACATGTTTAACGAGAGAGTGTACTTTTAATTGGTGATACCCTTATTTCCCGGTAATAGATGTCTATTGACTCGATACTTTCGTTTCGAGATAACAGATGTTTACTGGCCCGGCTAGTTTAGAGAAGCACATCAAACAGAAGTTGATTGACTTGAAAATGTAAAGGTTTGTTGAAGGGTAAAATATTCGAAGGCCGCAGCAGTGTTCACCTACTACCAGCAAGTTCTAAAGATGAATTTTAAAAGCGACAATGTAAGTTCCTAGACGCCATTTATTCTCACTAAACTACCGTCTTATGTATTTATATAGCGACGCCCTAGGGAGCACTATTAACTCTTGTACCTTCTCGAAGAATAGATGTACTATCGTAGTTTATTCGCATTGGAGCACTTTAGGAGGCGCCAAGATTTTAACCCGAAAGCCGAAACGCATCTATAAATCGAACTCTAAATAATACTCTTAGTGGATAATGGTGAGCTTTGAGACTAGTCAAAAACCCGGTGGCCGAGCTACATTGTGCTTAAAGGAGATAATAACAGGTAGTATAAAAGATGGAAAAAATCTATTTGTTGGTGCAGCTTTCCCGATGTTTTTGGCCGCAATTGCTGAATTCTTTAACTTGCTCGTTTCTTTCACCGCGCAACGTGGCAGTGCCAAGTAAGAAAAACTTTTATTTTTCAAGCAAAAAAGCATTTTTTTTGGTAGAAAAATGAGAACATAGGTAAAAAACCTCAACGTTTTATTTCGAATCATTTCTTTCTGGATATGCGGTTTCTGGGTGAATATTTACATTCCATGTCCATGTCCACCTTTTGCACAAGCATACATTGTATGCAAATGAAGCATAAATCCATGTCAATTATCGAATAAAATCAACATTAATGTGCAAAATGAGCCATTTAAATCTCAAGTAGAGTCCACTCATTTGATGCCAATGTTACACTAATTTCAATTAAGAAACGGATTTTGGCCTTTATTTGCCATATATTTCTCCGCGTGTCTGTTTTCTTTATAGAATATTCCTGGAAACGCAGACGACAGCAGCATTAAAATATTAGTGCTTCCAGAGTAAAAAAGCACGTAAAAGGGTATGGAGAAGGTACATAAAATGTTCTCAAGGTGTTTTTCGTCTTAAAACGACATTAAATATTAAGGCTTCCAACGAGCTCGATTTGAGTGAAAAAAAATATTTTTTTAACTTGCTGATTGTTTTGCTAATTATTCAGTTGGCCCTATTCGGAATATGAAAGTCTCCGATCAACAGGTGGAATTTCTAGAGCAAGAATCCTTCCCGGACGATTTTATTAGCGTCCTCAACATGCCAGATTGATTAAACGTAAGCAACTAAAACCATTAAGCAGACTACCTGCTTTAAGAGGCTCCCGGTCTAATTAGATATTTATTACGGGAACTCTCCAACTCCCCTCTCGCTTTCCAGGGTTATTTAATTATTTATAATTGATATTCAATAAACTTTTTTGGGCAGGGTGGGGTATATTTTTCAATTCACCCATGGGATATTGGAACGTGTTGAATTTTTTATTGAGTGATGAGAAAGTGACTGACTGAGTCGTATGAATTACAGGCAATGAAGCTCGCATTAGACTAAAAACAAGTAATTTTTATTTCTCAGAGTGGAGTAGCATATAAACCACAAATACCTTTTTTCCATGGGAAGCCCCAAAAGATTTAATTTGACCAATCCCAGAGCCCTTAAGGCTGGCGGCTAATTAATTTATTGCTCAAGTTGAGAGACGCTTGTC